CCTCCGCCATTTTTCCTCCACCGAGGATATTTTCATTTATTGTTAGAGGGAAAGGAAAGAAGAGAGAGAGAAACATCAATGATGAGAGACAATGATTGTTAGATTGCATCCTGCATGCCACATACAGGAGATGTTGTCGTCAACCTGAACATGTGCCCTGACCAGGAATCAAACAGTGACCTCCTGGTTCATACGTTGATGCTCAACCACTGAGCCATGCTGTATGGGCTGTTCCTGCACTGTTAAGATTCACAGAGCTCCCTGTGTACCTGGGCTCTTGTCAGCCAGACTTTGGCAACATTATAGGTGACCAGGCCCCAGCCCTTCCCTCACTTCCCTCTGACATTAATACCTATGGGCCTGTCCACCATGATGCTCTGAAGCTCAGGGGCCCCTGGAGGTTCCCTCAGCACAGGCGTGAGCTGTTGGAAGTGCTCCCGGGTCAGTGCTCAGCGGTGTGTCCACCTGACACAGGAGGGACCTGCACAGACTTACATCATATGTGGGCACTGTATGTTTTTTCGCTCGCCTGGTAAATTCTGTAACGGGCTCAGCCGGGTGGCCTAGGCTGGCTTCATGCCACCTGAATGGCCCTGGCCCTGGCATCTCAGGGAGGGCCTGGCACGAGATGGGCATGAGGGGATGATGTAAGAGGCTGGCAGGCAGAAGCAGTTAGGGGCAATTAGGGAGGCAGGCAGGCAAATGGTTAGGAGGCATCAGTCCTGGATTTTGAGGGGGTTCATTTAAGGCAACACTTACCAGAGTGGGAAGGAGAGGCAGACACAGCCATACGGGATGTCCTGTGCAGGCCCCATGGGGTGAGAGTGTGGGCGGCAGAGGACAGAGGGTGAGGATGGGGTGGTGTCTGTGGAGCTGGAGGCACAGCAGAGGTGGGTGGGACCATGTCTCCTTTCAGCAGGTTCTCAGGATGCAGGTGGTTCTGGAGGGGAAGCGGGACTGTGTTGGGACACGTCCCCTGGGACCAGGTTCTGAGACTCACAGGGAACAGGGCCCAGTAGTGCTGTAGAAGGGCCCTTCACTGGGCCTCCTTCCTGCCTCCATCCAGGGTCATACTGGGAGCTGCGTCCATCTCCCAGGCTCACAAAGGGGCAGTGCACACAGGGGTCAGACCGTGAACCTCCATTGTGCAGCCATGTCAGTGAGAGGCAAGTGGCTAACTGCCCCCAAAAGGGTCCTCCTGGAGCAGAGCAAGGGGTTGATCACACTTAGGTGAGGTTTGGGGCCTGGACTCCGTGTTCCCCGCTCAGCACTGTGTGGAGGGTGGGGGACGTCGCTCTCAGTGAAGGGACAGGAATCCCTACAATGATTGCCTTGCCAACCCAGAGAGTGACCATCAGGGACATGGTGACTGCGAGCCCCCTGGTGGTCACAGCCTCTCCTGCAGGGAGTTTTGTGTCTGGGCTCACACTGACTTCCCATCACTGTGTCTGTTGTACAGTAATACAGGGCCATGTCCTGGGCTCTCAGGCTGTTCATTTGCAGATATAGCGTGTTCCTGGCGTTGTCCCTAGAGATGGTGAATCGGCCCTTCACAGCGTTGTCATGGTTTGTGGTACTTCCATCAGGATTAATTTCACCAAGCCACTCCAGCCCCTTCCCTGGAGCCTGGCGTGCCCAGCTCATCCAGTAGCTACTGAAGGTGAACCCAGAGGCTGCACAGGAGACTCTCAGAGACCCCCCAGGCTGCACCAAGCCTCCCCCAGACTCCACCAGCTGCTCCTCACACTGGACACCTGCAAACACAGAGACACAAGGTGGAATGAGAATCACATGGAAGCACCAACAGGCACAGGCACAGGTCTCAGCGCTCCCCTCTCCTGAGAACGACCTTGAGAAATGATCAGGAGGAAAACGCAGCTTGGCACCAAGTCCATGGTGGAGCCGCTGGGGTCCTGTCTCTGGTAATTGGGCTCTCGGTGTATCCCCAACATGCCTGGCAAAGTCCCTCTTTTATGAGCAGGAGGAGTGCCCCATTTGCATGGAGTCTGCATATAAGGTGCAGCTGGGACCCAGGGCTTCATGCCTGACCTTGTCATCGTAGGGGCGACCCCAGATGGTAAAGGACTCAAGGATACTGGCCACAAGGGGTCCCGTCTTGACCCCTTCCTTCCCTCGTTTATTACATGGGAAGTAGCCAAAGGCTCTGCCAAAGGGGCAGGTGACAGGGAGCAGAGGGCTGGGACCTTCAAAGGGCAGCCTGGCTGGTTCCTGCAGGAAAGTTGTTCATCTCCAGAATGATGGGCAGCTCCAAATGGGGAGGAGGGGCTGCACTTCCACGTGAGCTTTCAGGTCCCAGTGTGGCTGCCAGCCAGGCTAGAAGGTGCCTTCTCCAATCAGAATAAACAATCACGGGGAACTGAGCAGGATGACTATGTCATACAATTCCAGCTGGTTCCCCCACATTCTATTCCTGCCCCTATAAAAACTCGAACCTCTACAGGTGAGGAGGCAGGAGAGCTGGGCTGGACACTGTGGCCACAGCTCCATCTCTGAACTGCCGTTACTCTCACAAGCACACACCTGCCTCCCGAAACCACAGATTTCACTCAACTTCCCTGCTGTTCACTTGCAAAATCCTGGTTTCCAGCCTCTCAAAGTGGGAGAATTTCCATCATTTACACATATCGCCCTGGCTGGTGGAGCTCAGTGGTTGGAGCGTCATCCCCACACCAAAGGGTTCAAACTCTTTACAGTCACCACCATCATCATATGGAGGTAACAGGTCTTTATAATTGGGTGCACCTCCCTCTCCACATGGGAAGAAACGGG